TTTTAATCATTCCGGGATTTCAGAGGGAGGTATTATTCACTCTGTATATATAACTTGAAGCTTAAACAAACCTGCCGTGTTTAGTCTATATATATTTCAAACATATTGTTAATATACTCAGCCTGCGGTATAATAAAATATTTAGTGGTTTGCTTATATAAATTCCAAAGAAAAAGAAAAAATAAAAATTAACCATCAAAATAAACTTTATATTTTTTTTATGTCGCAATAATTCATAGACAAAGAGCTGATATCATTTTTTTACAAGATGGCGTAAATAATTTATTAAATTAAAAAGCTCTTGACCTACAAATTACAAAAAAGTGATTCTTTTCAATTTTCAAATATGATTTTTTTAAACAAAATTTTATTGATAAAAAAAAATATAATACTTAAAACTATACATTATTTTACTTATATATTTTTTCATAATAACAAATACTTTTGACGTACAGGTATATACATAAATGCATTTTATTTATCTACTTTGTCTCTTTTTTAATTACATGTTTCCCTAGGACATTATTACATAATTTTGTTACATAATATATTTTCATATACCTATTCACTTTATTGGCACTGCACAGGTTTTTTTATAACTACATTGTCACGAGCCGAATAGAAATCAAATATTTTGTGCCTTCACTTAACTGCCGTATGTAGCGTTGCCAGGCGCCTGATGTCCGGTGTAATTAGACGGTGTGAAAAATTTTGTGTGAAAAAAGTGAGTGACAATGGTAACGCCACAACAAATCGCGATGAAGGTAGTCGTCGACAGCGCAAGAGGGTAGACAGATATGTCTGCTCTTAAAGCTGTCATCTGCCGCCGTCCAGTCAACCCGGTGACCATGGATTGTGCAACGGTTCCGAAATTTCGGGAAAATAAAAAGAAGTCATACCGTGGTAAGAACCCTGATATTAGTGATAATCATTTAGTGAATAACCACGAAAGTCTTAAAATCTATATAATTAGACGGTGTGCGGTTTGTCCGACATTTTATATTAGACCGAGTTTTGTTTCGTTTAATTTCGAAGGGCTGCCACACTCAACATAGCCCCGCACTAGGGAAACCCTGTGTCGCGGGTGCCATGGTCACACTCATAGACACTCACAAACTACACCCAAACTCACGAGAGAAATAAATGTAGGCCATGCAAATATTTCTCCCAGCCCGGGAATCGAACCTGGGACCTCTGTGTGGCAGTCTGACACAGTAACCGTTCGGCAACAGAGGCAATTATATATAAATATTAGACAACATGCGTTGCTCTGATGCCAAAGTAACCAAAGCACTTGCGTTATAGAATTGGGAAACAACACAACCCAGACTCGAGACTTAGTTTTTCTGCATTAAATCGAACCCGGGTCCTCACAGATGGTGACACCACGAAAACCAATGTGCGTTCGGCCACGGAGATCGGTCAATAATAAGTGACAAAATAATGTTTTGAGATATCATAAAAAATCATAACCCTGTTTTAGAATATTGAAATGGTTTCCTGATATTTCAGCTATGCATCGTTAGGGGTAGTTTCCTCGTTAGGAGAAGTCGAACACGTTAACTAATTTTAACTGTTTTTAAAACAGAATTTTGTGCTCTATCTTATGCTATTTAAAACGGATATTTGACCATTTGTCACTAAGCCCCGTTTTAGTTAGTGGACAGCAGAATAGTTGTCAATGAAGATGAGGTCTATTACAATAATAGATGATATATTAATTTTATTGTTACTTCGCGACACGCCTGTCCATAACAGTTGCAGTGCCACTCAGAGCGTTAAATCGCAAAGATGTGAGGGACATTGCCATTGCGCCCCTCACCCTGAGCCATAAGTTGACAAGTCCCATGTGCCTGTAAATTCACCATGTGTGGTGTCTCTCACCAGACAATGGCTTGTATTTTGTCAACACGCTAAGAAGAAAATTATTAAAGATGGCAAAAATGCCACATACGGCAGTTAGTGAAGAGGGGGCAAATTTTGTTTGATGACAAAAACATTATCTTACTTCTCCTCTAATAACACAGGAGAAAACTCGGTGAGAACATACATTATATGCATATATTGGTAAAGCAGATTTTTTATACAAAACAAAATACTATTTATATGATCTAGCTAAAATATTTACTACACAAATAATTGTATAAAAAACCTGGTAAACAAATATGCAGTGAGAAAATAGAGTTCGACTCTTGTACTATAATTCGCACCCTTGGTTGTAATAAAGCTACATCTGCAAAATTACAACTTTTCAGTAGAGGTACAAAGATTCTACGATTGATAATTTTGTTATGCTCAAATAGGAGAACCACAAACAACAATAATCATAACACACTCATAAGCTAGCTCATAAATTACACCCAAACCCACAAGATAAATGAATGTAAGCCATACACCGAGTATATAACTAAAAATAGAGACGAAATAAGGGCAATCCATCCCCTGGCAACTCATCAGGCAAATGGACCTTATATCACTTTTAAATATCAACTCGTTTGCGCTGAAATCCGAAATTAGGACACTGAAATAGTACAGCGCCAACAACTGACCTGTGTGTACGTCTCCGTATATTCCAAAAATATTCTGTATTTGTTGTAATGAAGATAATAATCTCTAACTATGTGGGACTGTTCAATTTGGAGGTGTGAGAAAAACAGCAAAACATTTAATTACAAAAGAATCGGTAATTAAATATTAAACGAGTAATTTTAAATTTTCGACCATTATAGCACAAGTTAAACTGGTCGATTTCAAGTGAAACAATTGACGACACCCGTCAATTGTTTCGAATGCGGGCTAGCCAATCGGAACGCAGTTGTCGCCGTAATGATTTGGCAGAATATTTTGCAAATAAGTTAAACGGCATTTAGTCTGTATTTCTGGTTACATACTCGATGAGGTCATACAGATAAGATTTATTGAAATATTTAGTAAATCGTAAAACCAAGCGTAGTTGTAAGGGAGACTATGATAAATTATTTACCTAATGTCAAACACTAACCCAAAGTTAAATATTTGGCCGCTATTGAAAACCATTATAGAACTCAATTTAAAATTAATGTATCGAACAAGTATAACTGCTGAACAGTTGTAATTGGAATGCACATTTACTGATATTTCTTTTTAAAGTAATTTTGTTTGAAAACAATGCTGTAATCTGCTCTCTGTAATTTGTAACATTACAATAAAAACAAAACAAGACTAGGCGAGCCCGATAAAATAAATATGTATGTCCAAAAGTAACCAACTATGATGGTAAAAGAACAAATACACAATTCTTGCCAATAATATTTTAATAAATTAGATTTTTTGCGAGGCAGAGAATTGTTAAGTAAATTCACTTTGAAGAAAAAATTTAAATATACATACTTCGTAACTATAGTTAAGTTCTACATTGGTATTGATAAATGTACTCGTATTAGGTTATATAGTTATGTGATTGCGAGTATAACCTCGCCAAAAAGCTGCTTTTGCAGTTTGGTGAGAAATTGTATTATGTTTTCTGCGTTGGAGACAAGCATGTTGACCGTTCGTCCATGGAGGCAGTTAAATTTCTAATGTGCGTAATTTGTTTGTATATTTTTACTTCATGTGATAAAAGAACTTTTGACGTGTGACTTTATTATACCAATGGTACGAAATTATGTATAAAAAAAACAATCATTTACACAGTTAATTAATAGGAATATGGAATGTTCTACAAATATTTATAATTTTTTTTACAAAATTTATCGTTTTATTTATACACAGGATGTAAGGAACTGATTTTTTTTAATATCCTACAATTGTGCATTTCAATGTATATGCGGTATAGTTATCAAAAAAAGTATTTTAATATATATATATATATATATTTTTAATAATATCAAGTGACGGGACGGGCAAGTCGTGCGCCTGATGGTTAGCTACACGCCTGTCCATAACAGTTACAGTGCCACTCAGAGCTTTAATTATCAAAAATCTGAGGGGCACTGCCACTGCGCCCGACACCCTGAGACATAAGTTCACAAGTCCCATGCGCCTGTAATTTCACCCGCACCCTTGCCCTCCAAAACTGGAGGACAATAATGCTGACATTACTGCTTGGCGGCAGAAATAGGTAAGGAAAGAAGTAAATGTGGAGCCTACTGTACCCAAAAGTGTAATCTCAAGTTTTTTAGTCATGAGGAATATCAGCGCAAAAGTGGTGTAACACACATTCAATTTCTTTCTTCTACAATCATTATTTTTTATACAAAAAAAAATATGCTGAAGCATAAGAATCGTCTGTGAAACTTATGACAGTATTGCCGTTCAAATTATTCTTTTACTACTCATATTATGTATTTTTAACGTGCTATGTGTAAAAAATTCGCTCGAAAAACATCTTTTTTGTGGATAACGCACCTTACACCCTATGTTCTATTTAACTAAATTCCATATTTTATTTATTTATAACAATTTGTTGATCTGTCGGAAGATATACAGGCTATTTTAATTATATTTCAATTATCACCTGCATATTGCTTTTTTTAAAATAAATTATTGAAGTACATTAGTTTCTTTCTTTGAATGTTATATAGTGACTTTTTACGATATAGATGTTTCTTGAGCATCATGGACTTTATTGCCTTTCTCTCCTGCACTAACTGTTATATCTGGCATGAGACAAAACTTTCAGGCCACTGTATTTTTGGTTTAACACTCTCTCTTTCTATGCAAGAGTTATATTCATATAAAAAGCATATTGTGGTCTTTTGAAAATTGATTAAGATACTTCTAAATCACTTAACAGATACTCGTACAGTTAGTATGGAGAGACACGGTTTGAAAAGTCCTGGGTGTGATTCCCGGTTGAAACAATTTAGAAAATTAACGTCGTTACAACTGTTCGCTACTAGTAAAAAAAAGTCTGTATAGTTGACAAAAAATTTTTACGCGCTCGTAACACATATTACCCTTCTTTTGCCGCCGCTGTAGTCCGTTCAAAGGTCACCATACAACAAAAAAAATCACTGCATATAATTAAATACAATCTATAGAGTATCACAAGTGTAATGTATCTCGATAGTTTCGTCATCGATGCGACGCGTGCGCACATTGCAGACCAAGGGCCCCGTAGGGGACACCACGGGGCCTGGGGGGGTACTCGCCCCCCGCTGCGACTGCTAGGGGCGCGGCGCGATGGCCGGGGGCGGCTTGGGAGGGAGGCGGGGGGCAGTGGTGCTACAATCAAATATTCACATCAATACATGATACAGGCAGTACTTTTTTCTCAAGTTGTAGACCGGAAATTGTTACACAGATTGCATTTCATGCCAAATACCAATTCAAATGTACTCGGAGGACAGTTTTGAATGATGTTGGTGCGCCTGCACACCACAGGCCTCTGATGGTGGCACTTCACATGGCTATTCGAATTTGCGTACTTGATATATTTGGCACACAATCACCATGTGCAGATATCATGTACGACAAAATATTTGCCTCGTATTCCCCACACTCTGGTCATATTCATTATTTTAACTCCTTATTTGACTCCATGTGTAGACGGTCATATTTGTTTGTGTGTTTGCATGTTTGTTCGTCAAATATTTTTCCAAGTACAACAAACACCCAATAGAGAATACAAGTAGCCATGTGAAATAATAATAAATAAATAAAATTAATTTGTCGTCTCACAAGAAATACCGGTTCATCGATAATGGTGCATCGAGACGGATTAAGAAAATTCACGCAAGAAGTTGCTTTTGATTCCAACCAAATTCACAGAGAGTTAAATCATGTATACCCTGTCCAACCATTTATTTAACTTTTGACATGTGCCTCCAAAGTTCCGTAATTATTGTCATAAACAAAAAAATGTAATACTTCCTAGACTCTTATATTTTTTAATTTTAGTGAAGCGACGCGCTCTTTAGCTCCGATATTTATCGAGCCAACAGATTATGTGGAGAAGATTACTCAAGTTGATAAATTTTGTTACCTTTCTAATAAATTATAATTAATGAAATTTAATAAATTCTTATATTGTTTAATATAATGAATCGTCGGATTCTTCTCCATATGAACGGGAATCATCACCTGTATCCTCATTAACATTATTTATTAATTCTTGAGTACACAAATTGTCAAACGCAACATCACGATCCCAATCAGACATTATCTTTTTTGAACCAGCTCACAGTCATCATTAAAACTTCTTCTTCATAAATAAAATCGACTCGGAAACGCACTAGGACATAACTAATTGATTAGAATTCGAGCTGTCAAAAGTAAAAAAAAAACGTTGGAAGGAGTATAGGGCGAAAATTGTCTATAGGAACAATGAATATTTTATTTAGTTACAAAATGTTGTAATTTAGTTGCCTATGTGTAGTTATAATATTAAACTTTGAAAATTATTTTAAAATGTATCATTGTTTTTTTTTTCTCGTTAACGTGATTGCGAGAAGACGTGCACGTGTAGTTAGTGTAACAGTGTGTGCATGTGTGTATTGTGAATGTGGTAAGCGTAACCGTGATTCACTCACTCATAGAATTTTCTCGGTTTCAATATACGTCAATGTAAGGAGCCATTTTGAAATGTTTACCTTTACCTCTCTGACTGAACAGTGTTCAATACTAAGTCTGGTGCATACTTTGTACAAACGAATGGATGTGTGCAAGGATCAATACGTCTAGCAAAAGAAGACCTAATAGCAGTTATTGTATTGTATTGTATATGCCAAAAGAATATACTCACGAGTTGTTCGAGGTGTTGGTGTGCCTCCCCCTCCTCTGCAGGATGGTGGAGTGCGCGGGGCGCAGCAGCTCGGGCGCCGGCGGAGGCCGCGGGGGCAGCGGAGGGGGCGCCAAGGGGGCCGCGGGGGGCGCCAGGGGGGACACCGACGTCGACGTTGGCTGCACGTAACATTTTACGCGTTAGAGCATTCGGCTATTGGCTTACCCAAACCTTTTCATTATCTTACCGAATTAGTATGGAGCTTGGTACTTTATGCCCCGAAAAATTTAACCAGCCTCAAATTTTTTGCTTGATATAATCTTGAAATAAAGAGTTTAACATAATAATAAAAAAAATTGTGACCTGCCTTTTTAAAATTGATTTAAAACAAGTGTGGTAGTCTCAATGAAACAAGGTACAACGCTCACGCACACCTATACACACACTACACACACTCGCACATGAATTCAATGAACTGTTCGAATTAATCATAGTTTTTTATTTTCTTTATTATTATTTTTTCTCATAATGTTCATCATTATGTTATTTTTATTTTTTGATAACTGCGTGTTAATAACCATATTCTTCACCGGTCCTCAGTCGTATCACCGTGTCAGCATAAGCTGAGCCTCAAGCTCAGCCTTTCGTCTCAAGCTTATTTTTATTTTTTTGTACTTCTGTTAACTATATTTTAAGAAAATACTGTAGGAGGCAATGAATTATGTTATTATTATTAGACATGTTTAAATAATTACCAGCAACACTGCTGCACTAAAAAAGTCCAAGCAGCAATACTTAAACGCTAAAATATTTGAAAACTTAATTACAATTGGCTAATTAAATTGCAACAATAATGACATTCACATTTGAACTGCCAATATACTTTTATGGCATTGGCCAATAGTCCATTATCCAAAAGATCACATAAAAGTCCATGAGATTCCGTTCCGTACATATTTAAACATCCCTAACAATTTTCTGGAAATTGCAGGTCAAAAATAAATTGTTTTTAATTCAGAATTTCTGTTTTTTGAGAGCTCTACGCAAAAAAACCAACTGATAACCTCATTGACTTACAATTATATGGACGTCGGGTCCTCGCTAAAAAGTGTCCGCACTTGTAAGGCGCTAAAATCGTATACAGAGCGCGACACTCCGCTTTAGTCTTCATTTGTTCTACTGACAGCGCGATACTGCGATGACATTACAATTTAAATTTCGAATAGGTTGACTTGGGACGTTTTTTTCGTGGTTTTTGTATTAGACCCGTCGTCCATTTATTTGTAAGTCAATGGATAACCTGGTTAAATTTTCCATTTATTTTAGTACCACTAACGGAACAACTCTTTTAGAGTAAATACAAAATAAACAAACTTCGCGGTGTTGCTTGTTTACCGGTTTTCATCTCTGAGGTCGCAGGTACGATCCCCGGCCGGATTAATATGATTATTGTAGAAAACCAACTTTTCTATATTGTCTCGAGTCTGGGTGTTTGTGTTATTGTCGTTGTTTCCGATTTCTCTAACACAAGTGGTCTAGTTACTCGCTTTGGGATCAGAGCAACGTATGTGGTGTTATCTAACATTTATTATTACATCTATATTATTATTAATACAATGATCGAACATATAGAAACATTTTTTCGACCCAGTTGGACTTGAAACCACGACCATGCTGCACCGTAGCATTGCTCTTACCAACTGAGCCACAGGTGAACTTGACCTGTGGATTAGATTGGGCTCATTTCTGAATGAGTCTTGGCGTCTTCCCTTTCACAGTGTCGAAGCGGCTACGAGCGGGTAGATCCACACGTCTAAACAGACGCTAAACGCTAAGATAAGCACTGTAAAAGGTACGGGCGGACCGAGGCAATAGATCTACCCGGCCGAAGCGCACCCGCGCCCGCCTCAAGTCAGGCACCACTGTGAACTCAACGAGCATCTACGTACGTACATTTAATTTAGACGTATTCGCGTCCGCTGCCACTCTGAATAAGGCCTTAGAGTCAGAGCAATGCTACGGTGCGGCATGGTCGTGGGTTCAAGTCCCACCGGGTCGGAGAAAAAAAAAACTATGATGATGACTTATTTCGCTAAAAATCTCAATGCCACATATATTATGTCTATAGTTCCACTTTTTTTTATTACTTCTATAGTTCCAATATTGTGCTTGGCGCATTGACTTACAATTATATGGACGTCGGGTCCGCGCTAAAAAGTGTCCGAACTTATAGGGCGTTAAAATCGTATACAGAGCGTCATTCACGCTTTAGTCTTCGTTTGTTCGACTGACAGCGAAGCAAGCAAAATTAGACAGTACTGCGATGACATTACAATTTAAATTCAACGTTTTAGTTTTTTCATATTCCTTTACATTTAAATGTCCCTACGTTTAAATAGGTTGACATGGGACATTTTTTTCCTGGTTTTTGTATTAGACCCGTCGTCCATTTATTTGTAAGTCAATGGCTTGGTGGCAGAACTATGAGCTACGAAGAATTAGTTTTACAACGCCACCGTTTACGAGTTAAGTAACTTTAAGTTTATTCAATATCGCGATGGTTTAATACAATGATATTTAATTATTTTGTGAAATTACTCCTCTACATCGAGTATATGACCTGAAATAGAGACGAAATAAGGGCCATACATTCCGGTAGCTCATCAGGCAAATGGGCCTTACATCACTTTTAAATATCAACTCTCGTTTGCGTTGAAATCGCAAATTAAAAAAGCTGGAATAGTACAGCGCCAACAACTGACCTGAGTGTACATCGCCGTATATTCCAAAAATATTCTGTATTTTTTATAATAAAGATATCTCATATCTCTAACAATGGCGAGCTGTTCCATTCGGTGGTGTGGTGAAAAACAGCAAAACATCTAATTACAAAACAAACGGAATCACATTTCATCGGTAATTAAATATTTTATAAGTAATTTTGCAATTTTCGTCCATTATAGCAAAGCTCAAGTTAACTTGGTCGTCTTGAAGTGAAGCAATTGACGACACCCGTCAACTGTTTCGAACTCGGGCTGGCCAATCGGAGCGCAGTTGTCACAGTAATGATATGGCAGAATAGTTTTCAAACAACTCAGATGACATTTCGTCTCTATTTCTGGTTATATACTCGATGCTCCACTAGTTTGATATTTATAATTAATTTAATACAAAGATCAAAAACTCGGAAAAATTCCTTCAATTCGACTGGATTCGAACCAGCGCCTTCAGCATACCGTGCCTGCCGCTCTTCTAACTAAGCTACGGACCAGGGGGTCGATTCAGAACCTTACGATAACTCAGTTAAAGACCGATTCGATATGATATCGTACGATTTGTTGTCATTTTTACTCACAACACCCGAATCGAACGTCAAACTGCCGTACTCGAAACCGAGCCGAAATGACGTCACACCCGTATGATTACTCGAACTTCTCCACCAGCAAAGGCTACAAGCGTTTAGAACACAGTTATCGAACGAAAGTTACCGAACGCCCCTATTGTTTATAAAGCAAGAATACAATATGGCAATTTCTTATTATTTGAAATAGTCTTGATTTTGTCAATTTTATTAATTTATTTTAATGCAAGTCTAATGCATTCCTTTATAGGCCTTTAAAGTCTTAAAAATGTATATAAAACAGGCGTGCCATTGTTAGAGATATTATCTTTATTACAATAAATACAGAATATTTTTGGAATATACGGAGACGTACACACAGGTCAGTTGTTGGCGCTGTACTATTCCAGCTTTCTAATTTGCGATTTCAACGCAAACGAGAGTTGATATTTAAAAGTGATATAAGGCCTTTTTTTTTTTTTTTTTTTAATGACATTTTGCAGGTGGCCGCTGATGGCCTTTACTGCGCCACCGGAGAAAAAGGGCGAGCTGAAGGCTCATAACCCCTAGATATAAGGCCCATTTACCTGATGAGTTACTAGGAATGTATGGACTTTATTTCGTCTCTATTTCAGGTCATATACTCGATGCAGAGGAGTAATTTCACAAAATAATTAAATATCATTGTATTAAAACATCGCGATATTAAATAAACTTAACGTTACTTAACTCTTAAACGGTGGCGTTGTAAAACTAATTCTTCGGATCAGGCGCGCGACTTGTTCGTCCCGTCACTTGATATTATATATATAAAAAAAACGCTGTTGGATAACGATATCGTATCCGAATCCGAATCGGAACGTTAAAATGTTCTGAATAGCTCGGAAGGCGCCTTTCGATTCGAGAACAATATCCAATCGAACGATTCGGTTAAAATATCGAAAAGTTTTGAATCGGGGCCCAGCAGACCTTTTACGAATTTGTTTATGTGCTTGTTGCAATTCACACCCCGCGCAAATTTGTACAGAAATCCCATGAAAATGCCAAAAATTATGTTGCCGGCATTTGAGCTTGATAGCAATAAAACTACTACGAATTTAACAAAACCAATTATGTAAATAGCTTTATCATTCCTTAAATAACACAAAATATAGTAGTTATTACATAAAATAATGCATTTACCTTGATAAAATAAAGATTTCACAACGCACTGTTACCACAATGTTACTTCTCGCGAAGTTTTACCACAGATTCGAACAGCTTTTTCTCCGTATTTTTTAAATGAACGAATGTTTTTTGGCTATGCAATGAACGAAACAGTTACTATACTTGTCTATTATCAAAAGTTGTTCAAACAAACGTAGACTCTATCTTTATTGAGAACCGGTTTATAATCGTCTGGGCGAGCGAACCCACCGGTGGCTTCGCGCGTCTGAGGACTTTTTCTTTCAAAATGGCGTGAACCCACCGGTGGTTTCCTGCCGGCTTAGAGGTTAATAATTATAACAAACTAACGGTACGCTTTAAACTTGAGTATCATACCTGGTTGTGCGGCGTGGGAGGGGCCACAGAGTCTTTCCGTCTCCGAGGCGGCAATGGCGGCGGAGTACCGCACGCGCTGCCTGCTGTTGTTTACAATTATTTATTTATTGCATATAGTTAATATAATTCATTGTCTATGGTACACAGAAGTATAATAAGTATTATTGTACTCCGTTGTATAGATTTTGGAACAACTTTAATAATTTATAATGAATATAAGTAAATTATTATTATTTCTTATAGTGAATCGTCGGATTCTTCTCCATACGAAGTGGAATCATCACTGCAATCTGCATCACTTGAAACTGTGGCATATCACGCGACTGGCGATGATATCCTACTTTGGAATTTTTGTTTGTTATCTTTCTTTTTCTTACTGATGTTTTGTGTAGCTGCAATTTCTAAATTTCCCAGTAATTTATGTTCTTTTCTAAATGTGGTTCAATAATGAAATGCTATGAGTAGTAGATAGTAATCTCTCTCTCTCTCTCTCTCTCTCTGCGTGGAGATATAGGTCAGTGGCTGTAAGTGTTCGTACTTACTCTGCGGAAGGTGCGGCGGATGCGGCGTGAGGGGCGGCGCGGGCGGCGACGTGGGGAAGTGGAAGGCCGACTGACTGGACCTGCACACATGCACCACATTACCACTCATAGTTCCCTCTCTTTAGCCGCCAAATATATGCTTATTTGAAGACGGCGAAAGCTACTCTAATACGCTAGTATCAAAGTCGAAAGAATAGTAGCAGCCATTAGGCGAAAAAAGTGTCGTCTCTGCTAAAGCGAGTGCATGACAGTGGCAATGGCATCCTGAGGATGTTTGCCCATCGTTTTGACTGTACAATTTCAAAGTTTTGAGTAAACATTACAACTGAGTCAAATTGAGTAATAATTGTGCATTTTCCTAACTTTAATAATTTTTATTTTTGTAATTTAATTTTCTACTATCAATACTTCAAAATTCATTGCAATCATACTAACATAGTTTTAAGGCTTTCCTTTGTAACTAACACCATTATCTTATGGGCTACGGCCAGAAATAAATGGTTTATTATTAAAAGACCTTAAGTCAATATTTTGGAATTAAGATATTTCAACGTTCCATTGATGGGCACGGGAATCCTATAGGCTTCGGGTTTAGGCTATAGGCTTCAGACGTTTTCCGAAGGTTGTGAATCTTCTTCGCCGTGCAGGTTTCATCACTTTGTTTTCCTTCACCGAAAAGCTAAAGGTAAATTTCAAATAAAATTTCGCACATAAATTCCAAGAAACTGAAAAGGTGCGAGAACGGATTCCAACCCACGGCCCCTACTTGAGAGGCGGTAGGTCACACCATCAGGCTACCACGGCCTAATGGTTTGACCTAGTGGTTCCTTACAAAGATTACTTTAGAATGCTAAAAATCACGCAATTGTAAAGGCAATTAAGTCCTAATGTCGTTTGTTTCAAAATCAATCTCAAGTTCAAATAAAATGTTAAAACAAACATTTTAAATGTCTAATTTAAAATTACTATTTGGCACTTAAATAAAAAATAAATAACAAGACATTTATTTCTCCACAAAACATAAGAAACACTTAAAAAATGAATAGAAAAAAACAATTTAGTGACGTGGGCAAAAAGGCAGGCTCAGCATTGCTGATTTTCAGTCGTTACCTGTAGCTAGCTAGCTGTTCACTTGCTGCACCAAGCTAATGTGCGGAGTGTACACCAAGTAATAACCTACCTTAAGTAATAACTAGTAATAAGCTACACGCCTGTTCATGACAGTTACAGTGCCACTCAGAGTTTTAAATTGCAAAGATCTGAGGGGCACTGCCACTGCGCCTATCACCCTGACACATAACTTGACAAGTCCCATGTGCCTGTGATTTCACCAGCACCCTTACCCATCAAAACCGGAACACAGTAATGCGTACTACCCTGGACGAACTCTTTCATAAGGAGCTCTACTGCTACTAAACCCGTCACTTGATGATATAAAAAAGTTAAAATTTAATGGCTGTCCGTGTAAAGCATCGAGTATATAACCAGAAACAGGGACGAAATAAGGGCCATACATACCTGGTAACTAATCAGTGATATATCACTTATAAATACAACTCTCGTTTGCACTGAAATATAGACAGCGCCAACAACTGACCTGTGTGTACGTCTCCGTATATTCCAAAAATATTCTGTATTTATTGTAATAAATATTATATCTCTAACAATGCCGTGCTGTTCCATTCGGTGGTGTGGGGAAAAACAGCAAAACATCTAATTATAAAACGAAATCAATCGGTAATTAAATATGTAATTTTGCAATTTTCGGCCATTATAGCAAAGCTCAAGTTAACTGGTCGATTTGAAGTGAAACAGTTGACGACACCCGTTAATTGTTCCGAACTCGGGCTGTCCAATCGGAGCGCAGTTGTCACAGTAATGGTATGGCAGAATAGTTTTCAAACGAATTAAAATACATTTCGTCTCTATTTCCGGTTTTATACTCGATGGTGTAAAGTAATATTTTTTCGTTTATTTAACATAAAAATCAAAATTGTGTACTGATAGGAGTTATAATTGGGGACCAGTTGTTACTCGGTTTCTGTACAGATAGGAGCCACTGATTAAGTTTCTTCTTCTACCTGTCACTAACAGAACTTTACATATAGAAGTCTCACTTTCTCAAACTCTTATCTTATTAAGAGTCATTATTTAGGAGACGGCAAAACTTTCTATATACTTTAAAATTCTTATCAAAGGTTGTTACTTTAGATGCATTACTTTAAAAATAGATAAAAGCCAGTGAGTAACTATGAAGTGAAATCAGCCTGCAAAATTTGTATATACAATCCATTTTTCGCATGAGATAAGAGTTTGAGAAAGTGAGGCGACGATATCGATTATCTGAAAAGTTGTTTTGAAGTAGTTGTAATAATATATGCAACCTCGATAAATAACGGCTACCAAAGCCATGTTACCTGTCAGCGGCTTGGACCAGCGGACTGGCAGGCGGATTCGGCGCCGGCGACCGCTTCGGCGTCGTTGGCATTCTGACACAAGCAAACACTTATTAATAATAACATTTTATTTTCATTCAAATTAAATCTATGTATGTGCCAAGTTTTATTAAAATCGATTAACGGAAATGGGTGAAAATCAATAAACTGGATTCATCAAAGTCAAAGTCAAAGATTATTTATTCCATAAGTAAAATAAATTTACACTTGAAAATGTCACATTTAAGCTACTGCTCGTTCACTACGCTGACCTCCCTGAGAAGAACGAGCCAGAAACTCTAGGGATTGCTCTTTTCAAATAAACTTAAATGCTATGGAATACACTTTGAATCAAATTTGGATTCTGGAGCCGTGTGACGACACGTTTCCATACATCTTTATCTAACACGTAGTCTTCAATTTTGTAATATGATTTTTCGCTCAAAATATTTTTAATGTACTTTTTAAACTTAGGAAATGATAAACTTAATATATGCTCCGGAATCTTATTGTAAAAACGTATACAGTTCCCCATAAAAGAGTTGTTTACCTTGGTTAAACGAAATCGTGGTACCATGAGTTTGGACTTAGCTCTAAGGTTAATATTATGGATATCTTCTATCTTATTGAAATTATGTATATTTTTACGGGCATATAAAATATTTGAGTAAATCCCCTCCCATCCCCTAACTGGTCACCCTTAGAGCGTTTACGCACTACGACCGATTGGTATCAGTTCCGAGTCCGAGAAATGACGGTCCGAAATATCACAGGCATAATTTTATCTCTACGTGTACAAGCGATAGTCGTATTTGCTCGGATTCTAATCGGACTTAGTGCACAAGCGACTTCCGTAGTGGGTCCGACTTTTCTAGATTTGTTTACTCTCGGATTCGGAACAAAGGCGATTCGGATGCGGTGCGTGAACGCGCTTGGAAGTGGACATCTTCAAATTTGAATGGAACCACCACCGAGGTAGCAATTATCATCGAAAAAAAGAATAATCGAATTCGGACACAAATGCCGGAGTAATTGCGTAACATGCACACAAAAAAATACAGTCGAATTGAGATCCTCCTTTTTTTTGAAGTCGGTTAAAAATGGAAGTAAGTTAATCATCCAGTTGATTTTCCCGAGGGTGCCTTGTAGAGGCGAAGAGCTTGTATTTTTTGTATCGCCTACATTTATTTCTCTCGTGAGTTTGTGGTTTCCCTAGTGCGTGTCGCGTTATTTTTATCAGAAAAACCATTTATCTTCGAATTTAGAATTCGCTACTTATACCTTTCTTTCTTCCGAAGGCAGTATTATTATTATTATACATATGACAAGTGAACTTGTACCTATAGTTCAAAATATAATGGTATGCATTAATATTAGACAAAACTTAACGGCTACCATCTCAGTCAACCGTGACCATTGGATCTATAGGGCACGAAACGGTGGTTTTGTTTAACAGAAAAAAAAACAAATATACATATTATATTATTTCGATCCGAAAATATATTTCTTTTACCTTCGTGTCAAGGAGTTAAGCCACCTCAACTGAGCGTATGAAGGGATCCTATTTTTAGAATACAATTATTTATTTCAGGCATAAACCCATATAGTTTATTAGTAACCTTTTCTCTTAGAATATTTATTTAATATATATGTATAAAAAAAGATTTGATTTGCCCAACCCAGTACTTCAGAATTGGACAATCATATCTGCCTGAAACTATTTTTACTTACCCAAAAAGATATTGTAGAATTTTAACTGTATCACGTTTAAAAATCAACTAACGACCTCAATTTCAACGCAAAACTGACCATATGGTAAGATAACAAGTTATATGCATACAGATAATTCTGTATCGTATGACAGTTATTTGAAATTTGATTCTTGTCGCAATGTATGTGAGAAAAGTCCAAACCCGCACAGACTTGAGCTTCTTCTAAAGCTTCGTGCCCAGAGGTGGGGGATTTATATATACTAATTAATTAGTAGCAGTAAAACTCCTGTTCGTCCAGGGAAGTAATGCCACCTTACCTATTTCTGCCGCCAAGCGGTAATGCGACCATTACTGCATTCCGGTTTTTAACCAACTTTAAAAAAGGAGGAGAGTCTCAATTCGACTATATTTTTATCGTTTTTTTTATATCAAATGACAGGACGATCAAGTCGTACGTCTGATGGTAAGTTCGACACGCCTGTCCATAACAGTCGCAGTGCCACTCAGAGCTTTAAATCGCAAAGATCTGAGAGGCACTGCCACTGCGCCCGTCACCCTGAGACCTGACAAGTCCCATGTGCCTGTCGTTTATTCCATAAGTAAAATAAATTTACACTTGAAAACGTCACATTTAAACTGCAGCTCGTTCAATACGCTGACTTCCCTGAGAAGAACAAACAAGGAACTCTAGGGATTTCTTTTCAAATAAACTTAAATGCTCGAACTCGAATACTCGAACCCGGGACTTCTATTCCTCTTCATTTAGCGCCGGTATTATAAACCGGTGGACCACAGAGGACGTATTTATATCGTAGACCGTTTTCCCAGACAACACCACAGTCTTTTATCTAAATGTAATCTACATTTATGTTTGTTTGTCATTGAATACGTATATTACCTAACAAAATAATCAGTGCTTAATTTTTTCACCGACTGTAAAAATAGGAGCTTCTCAATTCGAAGGTTAACATTTATACAGGGTGACATTTTTACAAGTACGATTGTACAAGATGCCCTAAGATTGAGTAAGTGTGAAGGCAAGAATTAAACAAACTTATCGTTCAGTAATGCGTGACATTCATTTTGGTACGACTACTTTATTGCATCATTAGTGAATGACGTTTTAAAAATATTTTTTAACCAGTTTTATTTTTAATTATACTATAAAACACAAATTTCAATCTAAAAGCTGCAATTCCTTTACACATTTGTATTGAATGCATAAGAAGTCTCTTAGTACCAAAAGGTCCGCTAGGGGTCGGGTATCATAAGGTATCGACTGTGTTTTTTTTATATTTTAAAAGCCCCTCACAAAGGAAATCATGTCGCGGGTACCATGGACACATATATAGATAACCACAACACCGGTCAACAACAATCAAACCCGGGCCTCGGGTGGTAACGTTGTTCGTTCGGCCACGGAAACAGTTACATTCTGATACAAGAGAAACATTTGTAATGTTCCGTTTAGTGACAGAGTTGGGAATACTGTGTTCCGAGAAGGTTGTGCTTCGAAAGAGGACGTATTATTTATTATTAGCATTGAAGATTATGATGTTTCTACTACACACTCGTACACACACTCAACATAGCCCCGCACTAGGGAAACCTTGTGTCGCGGGTGCCATGGACACACATGTAGACAACAACAAATTACACCCAAACTCACGAGAGAAATAAATGTAGACCATACAAATATTTCTCCCGGCCCGGGAATCGAACCTGGGACCTCTGCGTGGCAGTCCGGCATGGTAACTGTTCGGCCACGGAGGCAGTTAAATATTTTTTGTGTGAATGTTACGCGATTTCTCTGGCTTTTGTGAACCGATTACGATGATTCTTTTTTTTGTTGGAAAGAGGGTAATTACGAACACTGGGCAGTTGGCTGTGTGAGGTTTATTTCGCCTGTTTACATAGTTTTTTTTTATAACATCAAGTGACGGGATGAACAAGTCGTGCGCCTGATGGTAAGCTACACGCCTGAACTTATAAGGTTCCTGCCCTTCTCGTATACCCTATGGGTCGGTAGGGAGAGTCACTATAATCAAAACTAATGTAGAAAGCTCGGGTGCTGTACTTTTTTGTGTGTATGTTACGTGATTACTTAATTTGTGAACCGATTTTGATGGTTCTTTTTTATTGGAAAAAGGGTACCTCAATATTGGTCCCATTTAAACTTGAAGAAAATATTTAGATACATAAAACGTTTATTTTGATCTACAGACACACATATATAACAGAAAATATGTAATACAATCATTGACTTACAATTATATGGACGTCGGGTCCGCGCTAAAAAGTGTCCGAACTTATAGGGCGTTAAAATCGTATACAGAGCGTCATTCACGCTTTAGTCTTCGTTTGTTCGACTGACAGCGAAGCAAGCAAAATTAGACAGTACTGCGATGACATTACAATTTAAATTCAACGTTTTAGCTTTTTCATATTCCTTTACATGTCACTACGTTTAAATAGGTTGGGACATTTTTTTTCGTGGTTTTTGTATTAGACCCGTCGTCCATTTATTTGTAAGTCAATGAATACAATAGAAAGAAAAAAAAACAGCAGAGTCTCAGAACTGCCGAACACCCAGTTATGTATGCGTGCTGTAGCAGTACAAAAAGGTCATAGCTCAGCGTCGGTGTTTACTCAGGAGGAAACCGCTGATTTTCAGCTATAACCTAGAGGATTCCGCGGATACGATAACCAGCTAGCTGACGCCATTTTTATGTTGTATAAATTAAACAAATAATAATTTCGAAACTAAATAAATACAGAAGATAATATAAACTGTAAAGGAGGGAGTTTCTTTCTTCCGTTGGATGAGGTTACCCAAACAAGCCAAGTGAAACTCCAAATTGTTCAGAAGATTTTTATTTTCACCTTGTATGCCGCCAATACAATTTCACCCTATATGCGGAAGGTCCGGACAGTTGTTCCCAAGAAGGGACTCACTCCTGGAAATCGTGCCGCGAGATGAGGTCTTTCACTCTATATGAGCGTACGAAATATCAGAAGATCCGGGTAGCAGTTCACAAGAAGGGACTCAACTCCTGACGCCTTACTTAGCTCTCTGTATTCTCAGATTTCTCTTCCCATTAACACAATTGTGTTCGAAGTCACTATTCGAGGGAAAATCTTAACACCGCGATTCAGAAATAACGCCAAATGGGTCAATGCAATCTAGCGGATTCTTAGAGAACTAAAAGTGAACAATCTGGCTTAAGGCCGTCTACTACATAAAGTAGGTTTGTTACAAAACATAATAAATAATATTTTAATAATATAACCAAATTATAAATTGACTTATATGTGATTAACATATAAAAATCTATTTAATTA